CAGGTTTTATGAATGGAAGACACTCTTTCTTTAACACAAGGAAACTCATAAATATTCTCGATATGCCCGATTTAGATGTGCCAGAGGTGGTTTTGGCTCTTGATGCATAGAAGGCATTTGAAAGAGTGGAATGGGGATATTTATTTTGTGTAATGGTGAATTTTGGTTTTGATGATGGGTTCATTTCCTGGGTCAAATTGTTGTACATCTCTCCGCAAGCATCTGTGTTAACTAATGGTGTGTTTTCAATGGCCATTGCCATTGAGCCCTTAGCAATCTGGCTTCGTGAGGATGTTAATTTTAAAGGTATCTCTCAATCTGGCTAGATAGAGAGTATAAATTATCCTTATATGCGGACGATTTTTTACTTTTTATTTCTGACCCAGTGGTTGCTGTCCCTATTGTTTTGAGCATTCTAAACCAGTTTAGTAAAATTTTGGGGTACAAAATTAACTTTCATAAGAGTGAGCTATTCCCTGTAAATCCATTGGCAAAAAAACCTTACACACTCACTTTTTCCTTTTAGATGGGCAGTTGATGGATTTAAGAGGTATCGTCGTGACCAAATCTTTAAGTGGAATGTATGTCTCTAATTTTATCCCTTTACTTAAAAATTGTGAATCTGACATGGAACGCTGGTCTAAACTTCCCTTTTCTCTTGCTGGGCGCATAAACCTAATCAAGATGACTGTTCTTCCCAAGTTTTTGTACTTATTTCAACACATTCCAATTTACCTTAAGAAAAGGTTTTTTATGGATTTGGATAAATGTATCACCTCATTTTTATGGGAAAATAAACCAATTCAAATTAAGAAATCTATTTTGCAGCTCCCGAAAAACAGAGGGGGTTTTGCACTCCCAGATTTCTTACATTATTATTGGGCTTGCAATATTCAAAAGATTGTACATTGGAGGAACAATATAAGTTCTGAACTTCCGTGTTGGGCTTATCTAGAACCGTCCTCAGCTCACCTTTCTCTGAGCTCTGTTTTATCCTCTCAACTACCTTTACCTGCAAAGGTCAGCTCAAATTTAGTAGTATCCCAATCAATTAAGATATGGACTCAATTTAGGAAACACAGGTTTATTTAGTCCTCCCTCCATCCTTTCTCCAATATTTAAAAACCACAGTTTTGCACCATCTAATACAGATGAAGCTTTCCGAATGTGGCTTGATAAGGGCATAAAAACAATTGATGACCTTTATGAGAGTGGCATTTTCTCATCCTTTGATAACCTTTCTAAAAGATTTGACCTACCTAATTCACACTTATTTCGTTTTTTTCAAATCAGGCACTTTGTGCAAAAACTGTTTCCTCATTTTCCTAATCGACCTCCAGAATCTCCATTAGATAACTTATTAAAGCTTGAACCACACTCAAAACATTGCATTTCTTCCATTTATAACCTGAATCACAATATTAATCCAAGTTCTGCAAATCAAACCAGAAGTGCTTGGGAAGAGAACTTAGGTTTTCAGTTCTCTGATGAACACTGGGAGCATATTCTTGAGCTCACACATACCTCTTCTATATGTGCAAGACATGGGCTTATACAATGTAAGATTCTACATAGGGTTTACTACACTAATGCTAGACTTGCTAAAATATACCCTTCTGTCAGCGATGCATGTAATAGGTGCAAACAGTCACCAGCGCATCTCATCCATATGTTGTGGGAATGCCCTAAATTATTTGATTATTGGACTAAAATATTTAAAACTCTGAAAGATGCATTCGACAGAGATCTGGATACAAATCCACTTCTGGACATTTTTGGGTTGGCAGTAGATGCCAACCTTTCAGTAATGGTCCAGAAGCCTTTAGCTTTTACTGCATTAATAGTGAGACGTCTCATCCTTTTCAAGTGGAAACATGTCTTTTCACCATCTTTTGATGCATGGATAAAAGAAGTATTTACTTGTAGTAAATTGGAAAAGATTACACTATCACTTACTGGTTCTTTAAAGACCTTTGACAAGTTGTGGCGCCCCTTTTTAGATTATCTACTGGCAAACTTTATTAATTCTTAAACTGAGCAATAATATATGAATAAATACATATTTATTATTTATTTTCATCTTATTTAGTTATTTATTTTAATTTAATGCTTTATTTTTTACCTTTTTATTATTATTGTTAATTATTTATTTATTTGTATTTATTTATTATTATTATTGTTTTTTTCTCAATGAGAAGTTAGAGGCTGTTGAGGGAGGGAAATGTTTAACTGTCGACTGTTCAACTGTTGCGATGTTCGCAACAAGTCTGCATTGCCCTACACAACTGATATTAGGAGGTGGAGTTTTGGTGGAGTTCGTCACAGTCTTGTCAATCATTCTGCAGTCCTTCAGTGCCTGCACCCAAACAGCCAGCAACTAGTGATTTGCTAAGCAAGGCTGCGCCTGGTCAGTACCTGGATGGGAGACCACATGGGAAAGCTGGGTTGCTGCCAGAGGTGATTTTAGTGAGGCCAGCAGGGGCGCCCAACCTGTCGTTTGTGTGGGTCTTAATGCCCCAGTGTAGTGACAGGGACTCTATACTGCTAAGTGAGCGCCGTCTTTCGGATAAGACGTTAAACCGAGGGCCTGACTAGTCATTAAAAATCCCAGGATGTCCTTCAAAAAAGAGCAGGGGTTTCACCCCGGCATCCTGGCCAAATTTGCCCACTGGCCTTTGTCCATCATGGCCTCCTAACCATCCCCAAACCATTATTGGCTTCATCACTTGTCTCCTTTCGACCAATCAGCTGGTGTGTGGTGTGCGGTCTGACGCAAAATGGCTGCCGTCGAGTCATCCAGGTTGATGCTGCACATTAGTGGTAGATCAGGAGATTTCCCCCTATGTGTGAAGCGCTTTGAGTGCCCAGGAAAGCGCTATATAAATGGAAGGAATTATTATTATTATTATAATTATCATAAACATACTTCCTCTTTCTGCGAACTTCTCTATGTACATAAACTGACATTATTATCAGCAGTGGTGGGAGTAACAAATTACAACTACTCACGTTACTGTAATTAAGTACATTTTTGGGGTAATTGTACTTTCATGAGTAGAATTTTAAGCCTGTAATTTGACTTGTACTTAAGTACAAATTAAGCTGAGTAATCTACTTCGTTACTTTTAAAATCACAATTCGTTACATTCATTCATTTTCTAGTCGACTTAGTCCCTTTATTAATCCGGGTTCACCACAGCGGAATGAATCGCCAACTTATCCAGCAAGTTTTTACGCAGCAGATACCCTTCCAGACGCAACCCATCTCTGGGAAACATCCACACAAACATCCACACACACTCATACACTACGGACAATTTAGCCTACCCAATTCACCTGTACCGCATGTCTTTGGACTGTGGGGGAAACCGGAGCACCCGGAGGAAACCCACGCGAAGGCAGGGAGAACATGCAAACTTCACACAGAAACACCAACTGAACCGAGGATCGACCCAGCGACCTTCTTGCTGTGAGGCGACAGCACTACCCACTGCGCCACTGCCTCGCCACAATTCGTTTCAGAGTACTGTAAATAAATCAATATTTCAACCACGCACTGACCAGCATTTCGGTAGCCAATAAAAAAAAATCATCTTGATGGACCAATGTAAAGCCTTGTACATTATTTGAACCAAAAAACAAGTTCAGGCTACTGCAGATCTACGTGAGCTGACCGTCATCATCATACAGTCACAAAGTTATCAATTGACATATGGAGATTAAAGACAGAAGAAATGGGGAAGAAATAACAGAGGATGAATGCCCATGGCCACAAAAGTCCTATTAGCATGCTTCGGCATAGTGTTGGGCAGTAGCGTCGCTACAAGTAATGATGCTACTTGCTAACTACATTTCTCAGTAGCGTGGCTGTAGCGTCGCTACTTTCTAAATCAAATAGCTTTTCAGTAGCGAAGCTATTTTATTAGTCAAGTAGCGCAGTAGCGTCCACACAAGCTTCATTTACCGATAGTGGATCAATAAGTGACGGCACCGACATTCACTGAGCTGTGAGACCGGTGTCTAGCCGATGTATGTAAAATAAATGTATATAATAGGGAGAAGGATGATTTCTTCTTCTTCCTGTTTTACGGTGTTCGACAACAAAATTTTTGGTGCGTTACTGCCACATCTGGTGAAACTTGCTTGATGGAAAGATGACTGAGGGAGAGTAGTTATTTCTGAAGCAGGATTTCCTGTAAGCATACCTCGAGAAGTACATGTTAAGATGCAATAACTTAATTTCTGATACTGTGCTCAAAAAATAAAAATATTTCCCTTTACTATAAATGACTATAGTATTTTATGTGTAAGACCTGGTTTTATTGAATTTTTTTTTAGTTTTTGCTGTTATTTACTATAATGTGTTTCTGTTTAGTACAGCATATTATTTACAGTAAATAATTGAACTGAACTATTATGTCTCATATGTTTCATTGACAGTTTTATTGATCACTAAGATATGATTGACTTGGATTTAAGTTGCTTCGATTTAAAAATGAAAACTGTAAAAATAGCATAGATGTAAGCTACTTTTGCCATGCAGCTTTTAGCTTAGCTTGCTACATTTCCCAGGGGGCAGCTTTAGTGTAGTTAAGCTACATTTGAAGTAGAGTTTACGTTGTATTAAGTTAGTTGGAGATGACAGCAGCTTGTAAGTCATCTAAATGAAATTACTGGGTAGTAAACATACAACATGGTCATTGTTTTATGTAATAAGTTATATAATTGAAAAAAAAAATATATATATTATAAAAATGTGCAATCTGTTTAAGAGCTGCGAAGCAATTAGTGCTGAAAATAAATTAAATTAACAGAAAAATTATAGTAAAAACATTTTAAAGAGTAATTGCTCAAGTAATTCAAAATTTATGCAATTTTATTGCACATGGTTTATAAAAAAATAAATATGTAAATATATTAATTAAAGTAAATATTATATGATTTTATCTATTTTGCAAGCTGGTGAACAGTCCGAAAGATGGCAGTAAGAGCACTACACGTTACGCTTCGCCAGTAACTGAAGAAGAACCGGTCAAAACATCACGTGATTCAAATAAACAAGGATAAAAACATTTAAGGAAGTGCAGAAATATCTATATTTTGAAGGAAATATTTTGCAGAAATATTTTGTATATTGGGGTATAGTCGAACACAAATGTATTTAGCCTTTTCCTGCTTCTGTGCTGTAACGTTATCTGGCATGTGACTGATGGATGAATGAGCTGGCTACTAAACTATAGTAAAGCCTCCGATAATAAATAGCTATAAAGAAGATATCGATTAACCATGCGGAGAAGACCACAGTCTGCAACTTTCACATCGGCATTTCTGAGGTAACGTTAACGTTATGGTTATGGCTATTTCCTATGGCTATTTCCTGTGTTATTATCAATGTCGTTATTTGCAGACGAATGCGTAAACTTAAGATTTGAATGTTGTATATAATGTAACATATAGAGTTGTATATATTGCAACAATTTAATAATGTAGCCTTATATTATTACTCGAAAACCCTATCAGTCAGGATGTTTGCTGGGCTATCAAAGTTGTCATTTGGCTAACAGCTCGAAAGCCAAGAATAATATTTAATACACAAATTATAATTCAATATTCATGATGAAAAAACAAGATTTGTATAAAAGCAGGGCAGGAAGTGAGAAGACTACAGCAGCAGCCACACCACGCTCCCAGTTTCACACAGATCTATGGCTCTGTTTCACTGTGCAAAACTGGATACTGGACTTTGGAAGGCCAATCGCTATGGTATAAGTTAAAACAAGGTGTTATATACATTTAAGAGTGGTGTTTTCTTATTTGAATACCTAAAACAATTTTGTATGTTCTTTATTTAGATCATAATGCCCCTGGAATGGTTTCCTCTTAATAAGCCAAGTGTTGGAGATTATTTTCACATGGCATATAATGTCATTACGCCATTCTTACTACTGAAGGTACCCACTTTCTTCTATGATTTAAAATAATAACAATAGTGTGTATTCGGGGTGTGTTTTTACATAGCACATGAATGTTGATTACGTTATTATCCTGTGCGTTGTTTTGATGTTCATTTATCAAGCTTATTGAGCGGAGTCCCACGGCCCTTCCTCGCTCTGCTGTTTACCTCAGCATCATCACCTTTGTCATGGGCGCAAGCATACACCTGGTGGGAGACTCTATTAACCATCGTCTCATCCTCAGCGGATACCAGCTTCATCTGTCTGTCAGAGAAAACCCCATTATCAAGGATCTGAAGCCTGCTTCACTGGTTAGTTCGGATTACAGATTAAACATATTGTCTTTTCAGAAGAAAACCTCAGAATATATTAGTTTTTATGAAGATAATGATAACACATACTGTGTATGGTTTTCAGATCGACTCCTTTGAACTTCTGTATTACTATGATGAACACCTAGGGCATTCCATGTGGTAAGTGTATTTTCCATTCTTACTATTTGTTTTTTTATGTGTACATTATCAAACACACGCGTGCACACGTTTCACCCTTTCCTAGTGTCAGCATTTTCACTCAAAAAGTTCTGATCTATAAAATATCTTAAATTAGTTTAAAATAGAGAATTAGAAATATTTTAATCTCCAACACATGCACTACACAAAATGGGAGTCGGCTCCATCACCTCCAATTATTTTCAATTCCTTCAACTATTCCCTTTCCACGTGCTTTTGGGTAGATTTTCAAAGTTACACACTCTAATGGCCAATATTACACAAAAACTATCGGAGGTTAGAGCAGTGTTTTACAGCCCTGTTCCTGAAGGCACACCAACAGTACACATTTTCAACATCTCCCTAATCAAACACTCCAGAATAAACTCTTCAGAAAATTAGAAGAGACTCCAAAACCTGAAATGAATAGGTCAGATAAGGGAGACATCCAAAAATGTACTGTTGCTGTGTTTCTAGGAACAGGTTTGGGAAACATTGGGTTAGAGGATTCAGTTCAAGCCTGGTGGAATTAACATCTACCATGTTGATCTCTGTTTATTTTTTAATGTTATTGCAACATTGCAACACATAAAATTCACCCGAAATTAAATGAAAGACACTTTGCAAAGTGTAATTTTGAGACCATGAACAAACTATCTATACTAGATGTCGAATTGGACATTCTAGGTTGACTTATTTGTATATACTAAAGAATGAAGCACCACCTAAATGTAATTACTTCCTAGCTGTTCTTGTAATGAAACATATTTTGTTGGAATGTGGAGGTTTAAATACCATTAGACAAAATTGCTATAAGGAGAGTACTTTGATGTACATTTTTAAAAAGAAACCACCAGGAAGAATTTTAAGTTATTTCAAAACTTTTTACTGAATAATCATATTTAACTTTAAATGTTTTTTTTTTTTTGTGAATTTAATTTATATATTTATCTTTATATATTTCTCTATGTAACTTTTTATTGTAATATGAATTTGTTTTTATCATGTAATCTTTTATGGATATCCATTTTGCCATGAAATAGCCACAATGATGTGGTATAAAAATAAATTAATAATAAATAAATAAATATATAAAATTTGCGTTGCAACAACAATGGGTACTTTTATAAAAATCCTTTGAACATTAACTTTCAAATGATTCGTTATGTAAACATCTGAGGAGAGAAATGCAGAAATATGGATGTGCAACAGTGTTCATTAAGTACACTGACAAAGAGAGCTCCAACATGCTGGTAGTTAAGAAAACACATGCAAATATAAAAAAAACTCTAACAAATTGAGGAAACCTCTTCATCAGTTTGACAATACATGCAAGTCAATTCTCACAACACTTGCTAATTTAGTAATACACTGCAATTAGCACAGACCACAAATAGATATGTATCAGGGGACCCTCAAAAGCTGTTTAGAGTCAGCAGTAATTAAAATTTAAATAGATTTTTGTCAATTCTTTTATTATTCTGAGGTTTAAACATCTCCTTCTTCACCATTCTAGGTATATCCCATTCTTCCTCATCATCTTCTTGTATTTCACTGGCTGCTTTACACAAGTTAAAGATGAGAAGATGAGCACCTCAGGTTGGCTGCTGCTTGGCCCCAGCGCTGTGTATTATTGGTAAGTCAGCTATTCACATCAGTTGGTAGCATTTTCTTTAAGAGATAGAATTTCAAGTTCATGTGAATGAACACAATCAATATAAAAATACAATATGATTTGAATCTTGAAAACTTGAAACTGTATTTTTACAAACCCAATCTTTGCAGTCTGAATTCAGAACAAAAATAAGTTTAAAAATATGTCTATAAAAATCTGACAATTTAAATGTTAAAAAATTCAAAACATTTTTATCGGCGAATAATATTCTGTTTTATGAAATTACTATTGGTAATATTTTACATTAACACAATTCAAATTCAGACTGTTTCAGCGTATTTTAAGCTCCATAAATCAAGTCCTTATGTTTCTGCAGTGTGAAATATTTCCAAGTGAAAGCAAATATTCTACAATACATCAGACTCATAGGTTAAAACATTAAAGGTGCTGTGAAGTGCTTTGAAATGTGCATTTTTATCAACCGCAACACAAAGAGAGGGTTGGACATAGAGTAGCTCCTCCCCTTTTTAAAAAAAGGACCAATAGCGTTTAGATCTCTGCTCTGCCAATAGTTTTAGCTCAAGTGCATCAAATTAAAAACAAATGAGAAGCCTCTTGAAGGGGGTGGAGCATGTCAGATACTAGAGAGCATTTGATTGGTCAAGATTTGATGAGAAACTGAAGTATAAGGTGACGTGAATAAAACCGTTTTTTCATTTAGGAGTAAGTGATAAACTACAAGCTTTACATGTTTATATCAGTTTTATATCTTCTAAACGTGAATTTTTTCACTGTTTTGGGGCACACAAGCTTATAGATATCTTAAAAACTAACAATACTGACTTCTAAAAAACGTTTTTTTTAATGCGTTCTTATTTCTTCAGGTATCTGATTACTGAGGGGCAGATCTTTGTCCTGTATGTCTTCACCTTTTTTGCTATGGTTGCCACTGTGATGCGACAGAGGCGGATGGGCTTCGTGCTTGACAGCAATGGTCGTTTCCTCTTTTATAACTTCATCATTACTCTGGGATTGGTTCTGGTTTGGGTTGCATATCTGTGGAATGATAAAGTGTTACGCAAAAAGTATCCCGGTATCATCTACGTCCCAGAGCCTTGGTCCTTCTATACGTTACACATCAAAGGCAGTTAAATATAACAGCAAATCTCAACTACATTTCAAACAAATGGTTCTTTGACCAAATTTAATGGCACTAAAAAATGAATTAATATGTAGTCAGCACAGTAGCCTAGCGGTTAGCACGCTGACATATGGTGCAGTAGCGCTTTAGGGCGTCCTGAGTTCGAATCCAGGCTCGATGACATTTCCCGTCCCTTCCCCGTCTCTCTCCCTCTTCACTTCCTGTCTATAATACTGTCCTTAATAAATGTACTTAATAAAGGCATAAAAAGCCAAAAATAAATCTTTTTAAAAAATGTAAAGATGACTGTTACTTTTAAGAATCTTTACAAGGCAAGCAAGACAATGCTATGTTTGCCATTTTAGTGTACTGAAAAACAAAGAGATATCTTTATTGCGGCTGTATGTCAAATTGTTGTTTTTATACCCTTGTTTGGTTTGTACTTCCCAAATATATGAGTGTTATAAGTCAGTGTGTGTGGTTACGAGCTAAATGCTACCTACAGTATACTGACCTACTTGAAAACCATGGCTGTTATGTCCTTGTTTTATCTAAATAAAGTTTGTACACCCTATTTATTCCTTGTTATGAGTCAGTGAGTGTGATCATGAGCTGCACCTATACTGTAGCAGACAGTATAACATGATAGCTGGAATCCTATATCAACGTTCCTATGACAACAGGGCTATCAATTACGTCAACACTGCAGTGGACTTTGGTTTCTCCAGGTAAGGGAGTGACTCTTCCCGAACAGCCCAAACGTACATAGACATGGTGAGTTTGGTATTGATTTTTGTCTTTTTATGTTTGATTTTCACCGATTAATTGTAAATTTGTCAACTTACCTGTTTTTCTTTAAATCTTTACAGGCAAAATTCCTATCACAAAATCAGATTGATGGTGAGCTGTGTTACATTGACATACTGTGTTTTGTAATCAAGTAATATAGTAAAAATCACTAAACTAGTTATATATATGTATTAGTACTGGTGACTGTTTTTGTAAACTTGTATTGTGCTCATGCAGAGTTCAAAGAATGTTTCTCGCTTTATGACAAGAAGCGAAAGGGGAAGATTGAGGCAAAAGACCTTATAACAGTCATGCGCTGTCTGGGTACAAGCCCCACATATAATGAAGTGGACCGACATCTGCAAGTCCACAAAATAGGTAACATTTTGTTTGCTCTGCACATTACAATGAATTGTGATATATCTTTCTTGCCTACTCTTCTGTAGATTCCTGAATATTGCCAATAGCAATTTAACCTGGACTAGTGCTAAATGCTGGTAACTGATAACAATCAAGGAAAGAAAACTATATACGTACAGTTGAAGTCAGAATTATTAACCCCCCTTTGATTTTTCTTCTTTTTTAAATATTTCCCAAATGATGCTTAACAGAGCGAGGAAGTTTTTTTACAGTATGTCTGATAATATTTTTTCTTTTGGAGAAAGTCTTATTTGTTTTATTTCGGTTTTTAATTTTAGTTTTAAGGTCAATATTATTAGCCCCTTTAAGCTAGATTTTTTTTCTTCAATAATCTACAGAACAAACCACTGTTTTACAATAACTTTCCTAATTACCCTAACCTGCCTAGTTACCCTAATTACCCTAGTTAAGCCTTTAAATGTCACTTTAAGCTGTATAGAAGTGTGTTGAAAAAGATCTAGTCAAATATTATTTACTCTCATCATGGCAAAGATAAAATAAATCAGTTGGGGAAAAAAAACAGGGGGGCTAATAATTATGACTTCAACTCTACAGTATATATAAAATACAGGGCCATTTATATGGATACACCTTAATAAAATTATTGGGAATTTCACAAGAAAAAACAATGGTGTGCTTGCTTTTAACGTAACTTTATTCTTTCATGAGTTATTTACAAACCCCCTTATATATACTAATGTGCCACAAACAGGACGTTAATATCACCAACCATTCGCATTTTATTAAGGTGTATCTATATAAATGGCCCACCCTGTATATATGTGTATGTGTATGTGTGTATGTATGTATGTATGTGTATATATATATATATGTGTGTGTGTGTGTGTGTGTGTGTGTGTGTGTATATATATATATATATATATATATATACAGTATATGCACAGTGTTTAGGATTAATGAGTACAACCTATTTTGAAAAGGATTTTTTTTATAAATTTCTCAGTGAATATAGTTAAAATATACTGCTAAAAAAAATAATTAAAGGAACACTTAAACAACACATCGTAACTCTAAATGTTCCCCTTTTTTGAGCAATATATTTTGGTGCATTTAAACAAAACAGATTTAATAAAAAGTTCTATGTATTAAAATAATATTATAGTCACTGAACATCTATAGAAATAAAAAGACAACACAAAATATTGCAAAAAGGAATTACAAACTACAAAATTCTACAAAAATGTCCTTTTTATCTCTTGTTTTTTGCTCTTTTATACATTTTATTCATTTTCTTATTGGCTTAGTCCCTTTATCGATCTGTGGTCACCACAGCAGAATGAACCACCAACTTATCCAACATATCTTTTACGCAGCGGATCCCCTTCCAGCTGCAACCCAATACTTGGAAACACCCATACACTCCCATTCACACACATACACTATGGACAATTTAGCGTACCCAATTCACCTATATCTCATGTATTTGGACTTGTGGGGTAAACTGGAGCACCCGGAGGAAACACACGCAAACACGGGAAGAACATGCAAACCACACAAAAGCGCCAACCGACCCAGCCAAAACTCGAACCAGCGATCTTCTTGCTGTGAGGTGACAGTACTACCCACTGTGCCGTCCCTCTTTTATACATTTTTATTTAGTATTATTTCTACTCATTTTTGGACCATTATCATTAATTATTTTGTTAGATTAGCTCCAGATTTGGCTTCAGCACTGACTAGTAATTAGAAATTATTTCATAATGGTAGCCATTAGGTCATTGAATGAGTTCAGTGGGGAGGGAGATGCGTCTAAAAAATGATGTATTGTTTGTTTTGTAGTATTGTTTTGTTAGTGTGTACATGGAACTTCGACTGTGTTACAGCATCTTGCTGCAATTTTACTTTCTCTAAACAGGATAATAAAGTTGAATCCGAGTCTGATCTATTGTATGCACAAATAAAACATTGTATAGCATCCTATAGAAAAATATTAATTTAAATGAGATAATTGTGAGGGGTGTACTCATATATGCTGAGCACTGTATGTATCACAAATAGGATTTTGTTTGTTAAAAGTTTAAGACATTGGAACTAAGTAAAATACTTCATATTTAATCTAGTTTTAATAATTTCTTTACATTTTTTTAACCCTTAATGTATTCACAATCTTTAAATAAAGATAATTGTTGTTTTATCAGTTTTGGTTTATTGTATGGGGTCCTTGAGTTGCCAGAAATGCGCCTTTAATAAAATTAATCATTATTGTTATAAACTAATATTATTCAACTAAAGGAGTGGTAAATCTGATCAGAGGACATCTCATTAAGGAGTGAAAGTGAAATCAAATTCATGGTATTACTCCATTTGCTCCTTTTTATTAATAAAAAGATGTATGTTTATTTGTATTGTACGCATTTTTTTGTTCTTGTTGCTGTATCCCCTCCACAGATAAGACAGGGGAGCTGGACTTTTCTACATTTCTAACCATGATGCACAGACAGATGCAGCAGGAGGATCCTAAGACTGAAATCCTGGAGGCCATGCGTATGACAGACAAACACAAGAAAGGCTACATTCAGGCCTCTGAGCTACGGGCTAAACTCACTGGCTTAGGGGAAAAGCTCACAGACAAAGAAGGTAGAAATGAGTTGAAACTTAGTTCATATATTCAGCAGGATAACATATTAACACGAATAATAATAATAATAATAATAATAATAGAACTGTTTCGTAATTATTTTGCATTATTTTTCAGTGGATGAGCTTTTTAAAGAAGCACATGTTGGACGTGATGGACTTGTTCACTATGAGGAGTTCACTAGAATGGTCACACTTCCTACAGTGGACTACTAGTACTAATGAAGAACAATGAGTCGGGCCCTTATTCTCAATAATGCATTTATTTACTGCTGTGAATGAGATATTTTTTTTAATCATTGTATATAAAAAATAACAAGAGTTTAAACTCTACAATAAAAAGTCATATTTGGATGTGTATTGTGATTTCAATATCCACCACTAGATGGCAATCTGATATAATACAACTTTATATGGCAGCGTAAATAAACCGTCGCGAGATTTAGAACAGTTTAGAAGTTTTAGAATAGTCAAACAAACCCAAACAATGGATGTTAATCTCATCTATTTTAAATCCACATAGAAAATACCAAATAGACATTTATAAGACTTCTTTTCCCCAATCCAGTGCTTTCATGAACTCCTCTTCAGTGAAAGACAACAGCTTAGCGGCTTCATAATGCATCTTTAAAAACAGGAAAAAAATAAAATGCTTTTATCAAGTGCATTTAGTAAGGTATGACATTATTACAGTTATAAGTTTCAAGTAATAGTGAGCATACTGAATTCTTACCTTCTGTCTTTTTAAAATATCAATTAGCTTAAGTTGCTTTTTAAAACCCACAATTAGCTCTGCTTTCTGTCTTTCCAGTTTTCTGTTCTCAGCTTGCAGGGCTTCAATTTTTTGGTGCTCCTGACTAGATAAATCCTTTTAAGGTAGAAAAATAAACTTAAGAAAAGCATATAAATCTAAATCTGAAGAGAATAAAAGACTAAGAAATGCCATAATACATAATCAGGGGCGAATTTAACCATTAAGTGAGGTAAGCGGAATATCTAGAAGTATAAATTATACCTAGAAACTATATATAACATTGTTTTTATCATATTTTTATGGTGAGTTATGGAGTTAAACAAAAACAATTTTAACATAATTAAATATTATTTAGTAAACAATTAAATATAATATTATAATAATGTAATTTTATGTAATAATAGTAATACAAAATATCTGTCATGGTGCAGTCAAATTTATAAAAAAAGATTTTTTTTATTATTTTAAGTTGTACATTTATTTTACATTAAAAAAATGTATCATTTAAAATGTAGAGATTGCATTAATTTAAGATGTATAAAAGAAGATTGAGTGATATCAAACAGTAATATAAATAAACATTAAATAAAAGTAGAAAGGGTGCATTTCAGGACTGGGGACCCAAAATCACTAAATCCGCCCCTGTACATAATACATATCGTAATATCATATAAATATCATAATACACATTCCTTGGTTACCTTAGTGCTCTGTTTAAGTTTGTTGAGTTGAGTTTTAGTCTTCTCAGCCTCCTCCAAAGCTCTGTTTAACCGCACCTCTGTTGCACTGTGGGTACTGGCTGCCTGTTTAAAGGTCCTCTTCATGCTTTCCAGCTCCTAGAGTTTAGAGACAGAGGTATTTACACATAACTGAAGAAAACATACTGTTCACAACATGACTGCAAATAAAATGTTGGATCTTTGAATGTCTAAAATGAATGCTTTTAATTTCAATCCATCCACACACTTTGTACATGCAAAACATTTAAAGTAAGAAGTCAGTGGATGTTTTTTTTCCACAATACAGCCAATCTTGATTTGATTTTGGTTTATCTGCCAGTACTGTTATTTTCTCCTCATTCAGTTTCCATATTTCTATCATAAGGGGACCAGTGAGTTCCAAAGATATCTGTCCCCGAAGTCCAAGTGCTGTCTGAGCAGCTGTGGCATAGTCTCACTTTACACATAGAGGACTAATCAGGTTAAAGGGCCCATGCCGGGGATTCCGCTGTTCTGGACCCTGCCACTGCTTTAATTAACATGAATTATTATGCTATATACGGTACATGCTTCCTTTGCTGTGATCAATACAGAACATGTGCGCTTGGACTTGTCCTGTCACGAAGTCACTTTAGCTTGTGAAAAGAATTCTAAATGATATTTTCCAATGATGGTAGTACCTTTTGCAGTGCTGCCATTTGCTGTTGCAGACCTTCGGATTTCCTGCTGGATTCTTCAGCTAAGGCTTTTTGCTTCTCAACTTGAGTCTGTTGGATGTTTGTAGTCCTTTGCAGTCTTGCCCGTTCCTCCTCCAAGTCTTTTAATTTACTTGTTAGAGTGCTGTTTTCATCATCCTTCAAGAAAAACAAAAGGGATAAATACTAAATCGACCTGACTGAATTGTTTAGCCTAGATTCCAAAAGTTAAAAATGCTCATTATAAACGTATTTTTATTGCATGTTAGCAGACCACTGTAATCCAACTGCTAGGGTTTAATCGCAAGGTGTGCTCTCATTGCGAGGAAATGGACACAAAACTTTTGTTTTGGCACATTTAAAAACGCAACACCGACAACTCATGTCTCCAAACAATTCTTCTTCTTCCACTTGTTTGAATTAAGGTTGGCAACACAATGTGGCAACTCTCTAAATACTGTAAAGGGCAAAACAAGTCTTCAAAGCTATATCATGCATATTAATGAAGTTGCTGATGATTGGTTTGAACCAAGTTTTATGAATTAATGTATTAATGCTGAAAACTCAATGAGGTCATTTGGCTGCATTTGCATTGCATGGTTCTAGTGACTCAATTCCGTTTTTTTCTCCCATGTGGCACAGACCGGATATGACCCATGTATGTGTAAGCAGAACAAAATCACATTAATTTTGATTTACTCAAATCAGATTCAGGCCTTGTTCACATGTGGAGATTTATCTGATGTGATTTGGATCTGTGTCCTCGTGTCAGCAGTGTAAGCAGATAGATTGGATTTTGACTCGTCTATGCTAGAGAATGACATCAACTCTGATGCTTTCACTTCGGAACAGACTTCAGCAGAGTCCCAAACCTTAAATCTCATACACAAGGACTAAAAAAGCTTTTATAAAGTCATGTAGCACAAGTATTTAAGCATGTTAAAGAGAGAGTGTGTGCAACATCCACCACATAACCAATATAAACTAATATTAAACTGTTATATTTCCCAATGTTGGGTTGTGGCTGGAAGAGCATCCGCCGTGTAAAACATATGCCACTGTGGCAACCCCTTTTAATAAAGGAACAAAGCCAAAAAGAAAATGAATGAATGAATGAATGAAAAGTGTTGCATACATCACGTGCCTAAATCACACCATAGATAAGAGATTAAGATGCCTACTGGTCTAAAAAGGCCTAGATTCAAAATAACTTTTCTGTCATAAACTATAGTAAAACAACTTGTCAAAAAGAAAATAAAAAAATTAATTTAACCCTGCGAACACATTAAATACAGGAATGAAAAAAAAAATCGCTGTCAGCGCCCGCTCATATTTCTGGTCATTGCGCCTTTGCTGTGTGCTGTGTAAATGCAGACAATCGGATACAAGTCACTTTTAAAAGATGATGTAAACCTGTAAAATCTGTAAACATCAAAAAAAAAAAAAAATCGGATACAGTCACAAAATCGAAATTGACCGTACAGACATCCAATCTCCACACTGGAATTTACACAATAATCTCATTGCCGTGACGTAGCTTCAAAATTTATTTTCAAACTGAAAGAAGGAATTTGCTCTAAACAACGCAAAAACAACCAATTTTCCTGTTATAGTGCAATAAATGTGTCCTAATAGTGTTTTTAGCAATGTAGGACATATATATGGCTGTTGGCGTGTTTTGTGCACCCTTTAAAGGGATAGTTCACCTAAAATGACAAATTACTTACTATTTGCTCACCCTCAAATGGTTCTAAACCATTATGAGTTTCTTACTGCTGTTAAACACAATAGAGGATAATTTGAAGAAAGCTGAAAACCTGTAACAGGGTATCAGGGCATATACAGGAATCAGAAATTGAAATTCAATACCTTTTAAAACCTTTTTTAAAACTCTTTGCATACATTTTAACTTGCAGTATATTTACTAAATACTGATAACAAGAAACGAATCGTAAACTAAAACTGTATTTATACTCAATAAACTGGAGCAATGCGGTGGTGCAGTAGGTAGTGCTGTCGCCTCACAGCAAGAAGGTTGCTGGTTCGAGCCTCTGCTGGGTCAGTTGGTGTTTCTGTGTGAAGTTTGCATGTTCTCCCCGCGTTCGCGTGGGTTTCCTCCGAGTGCTCCGGTTTCCCCCACAAGTCCAAAGAAATGTGGTACAGGTGAATTAGGTATGCTAAGTTGTCCGTATGTATGAGTGTGAATGAGTGTGTGGATGTTTCCCAGAGATGGGTTGCAGCTGGAAGGGCAACTGCTGCGTAAAACATGTGCTAAATAAGTTGGTGGTTCATTCTGCTGTGGCAACCCCTGATTAACAAAGGAACTAAGCTGAAAATGAATGAATGAATAAACATTTTAATCCAGCTGGTGGCGCCTTTAAACAAGCAGGAATACTAGTGTTTCCCTGGTTACTGCAGTAAACAAAGCAACATGATGTCAAATCTAGTAGGATTTTTTTTTTTCATAAACTACACAGCATCCTGATATTCAAAGACTAAATTCAGGTAAACTTTAACATAAATATACCAAATTTAATATCTTATAAAATGACACTTAAGACTTTTTAATACTTTTTGAGGGCCTTAAATTTTTCTAAAATGATTTATCAACTTTAAATACGTTTTAAGACCCCATGGACACCCTTTCAATACCTTTTTAAGACTTTTTAAAGACCTTCTCAGAATATTTTAAGACCTCATTGCCTCTTCAAGTTCTAGTCTGTGTCAAACCTTCAACTTAATAATCAGTTGTTAATAAACAGCTGTAGTTAAATCAATGTAGCAAAACCATGCAACACAACTCAAATAAGCTCGGTAGAAACAGAGCTTGAATTAATAAATTATGTGGTTGTTTTCAACGACAGGCTTCAGGCACTAATTACTAATTAGGCACTAGTTTAAACTCGTCTTTCTCCAACCAGGAGTACCCAAACTTACATTTTCCTATTTTGCCATCTGGTTCGCATTATGGTTCCGCTATATGCGGAGAGCATCACATTACCTAGCTGGAGAAGTTTGGCCGGACGCACCTCGGCCCAAACCAATCATGTGGATCAAGCATGCCGTTGTTAATATTAGGAGGACAGTAGATATATTTATGCTTTTTTTGCAGTCAAACACTTCGGACAGCACTTGAACCAAATTTAAGACCTTATAAAAATCTAATAAAGATTTTTAAATAACTTTTAATGGCCTTAATTTTCTCATAATTGATTTATCAACTCTTAATACTTTTAAAGACCCTGTGGACACTCTGTGTAACCACTGACTTCCATAGAAGGAAAAGCAAATACTACAAAAGTCAATGGTTATAGGTTTCAAACATTCTTCAAAATATCTTCTTTTGTGTTCAACAGAAAAAAGAAAGTCAGTAACAGTAAACGATAACAATTTTCTTTTTTATGATGAGGGGGGTGAAATATCCTTTTAAACATATTATAAATGACATACCTTTTTGTTGCACGCATACGAGAGTCTGTTTAATTCTTCTTGCATCACTCGAAGTTTAGCCTTCAAAAATCTGATCTGAGCTTCTGTAGATAAGAAATGAATGCATAAGCCACAATGCAAACAGTATAGCAGCATAGTTAAAGTATTTGGTGTTCTGTACCCACCTGCGCCCATCTCATCTCCAGCGCTAGGCATGATGTCATCCTGTAAGTGTTCCTCGGTGAGATCATCTCCAACCCTGTCCTCAATTTTGCTAATTGTCTTAGCAAGTGAGAAATCCCCAAAGTCCTCAGGAATAGCAACATCATCAACCGCAGTCTGTGGTGCTTTTCTACAAGCAGAAGAAGATGATTCAGATCTATGACCCTACATTACATGCCTTCCACATACTTTTATGATAATTTTATGTAGACATTTGCTTATATACAGTTGAAGTCAGAATTATTAGACACCCTTTGATTTTAATTTTTTTTTTTTATATTTCCCAAATGATGTTTAACAAGGACATTTTCACAGTATGTCTGATAATATGTTTTCTTCTGAAGAAAGTCTTATTTGTTTTATTTTGGCTGGAATAAAAGCAGTTTTTAATTTTTAAAAAGCCATTTTATGGTCAAAACTATTAGCCCCTTTTAACTGTATATTGTTTTCGATAGTCTACAGAACAAGCCATCATTATACAATAACTTACCTAATTACCCAAACCTGCCTAGTTCACCTAATTAACCTAGTTCAGGCTTTAAATGTCACTTTAAGCTGTATAGAAGTGTTGAAAAATATCTAGTAAAATATTATGTACTGTCATCATGTCAAAGATCAAATAAATCAGTAATTAGAAATGAGTTATTAAAACTATTATGTTTAGAAATGTGTTGAACAAATCTTCTCTCCGTTAAACAAAAATTGGGGAAAAAATAAACAGGGGTGCTTATAATTTAGGGGTTTAATACTTCTTCAACTGTATTATGAAAATGAAAAGACTTACTGCTGAATCTTTCTATTCCCTGAGCTTGGCTTGCTTGGTTTTGAGGATTTTGCAGAGATGCTTTTATTTTTCATGATCTATGAAACGCAACAGAAAAGAGTTCCTGTAAACAATGAGGTTTTGTGTTAAATCCACACTTGTGTTGATTTGATATTTATTCATCTTGTACCATCATAGTGGGCTGCTTTGATGTGGGTTCTTTTTTAACATCTGGCTTCCTAATAAGGCAAAAAGAGTTATGCTTGCAAACAGCAAATGATGTTGCTTATATTTATATTTCAAACTATTAGAACCATTACCCAGGAACCTCCAAATCACTGTCAGAATCAATGGAGATACAGGTGAAGATAGGTTTGGAGAGCACCTCATTTTGATCCCTCTAAAAACCATTGTCAAAAACAAAAAGTATCAGGGTTTGTTGTAACATTATAAATACAGTTCGTTATAAACTATACATTAAGCACAGTCTATATTCTTTCAATGGTTTTTAATAGCATGCTTTGCTGTTTTTAACATACTTTTCAATAGACTTACCATGATTTTTTCTGCATCTCGAACAATTTCTGCTGTTTTTGCTTCTAGTTTTGCATTGAGGCGCCTGAGGAGTATTAGAGTTAGATATTGAACATACTTCTATGCAATCTTTAATCCCAAAGTCTTTGGAGGACCTATTATAGTCACTGGGTGCATGCCAGGGGTGTCCAGTCTTGCTCCTGGAGGGCCAGTTACGTTAGCAAAGACTAGAGCTGCATGATATTGGATAAAAGCATTGCAAATTTGATGGGATATGAGCATAACTTTACCAGATGACTTAAATAGCTCAATTTGGAAAGATGTCCTAATTTTAGACTAATTGGGATGATTTCTTAGGACAGTGCATCTGTGTAAAATAATCAACAAATATAGTATAATAGTATAGACCATTTAAATGTGACAATGTCATTGGCACATGAATATTTCCTGCTTGTTGCACAACGATTTCATGACTGTGACAAGAGGCAATTCAATCATAACTTAATGTTAAGACAGCTATCGTAACATTATCAATATGTGGACCTTTTTGGATACTTGAAAGCTGTGAAATTACAAATGTAATACAGGAAATACATTAGGACCATTGTTATTGTAAACATCCCTCAAAATGGTCTATAGATAAATAGAATAAAGCAAAGACACAAATGAAATAGACAGTGCAATATGGTTTTCTGGACAGTCTAACTGTATTTATGAACAGGAATTAAATAATTGAATGGAAATAAAATTATTTTGATTGTATAAAAATCAGACAAAGTCAAACACTTGTCAAAGTGGTTTAAATTAGCTTGAAATCTTACAGACCTTAAAACCACAAGCAAATAAAAACCTTTCACTCTATTAAGTTAATCTTCACAATGCCTCCATAATGCTCTGAACTATGGTGCTGATCAGCTGTAATCCCCAGATTATAAATCTCCAGATCTTGCAATGTGACTGTTGTGGATGTGCGCATTGAGATTTCAATGATGTAATGACATATTGTGCAGCCCTAGTGGCAACCCCAATTAAACACATCAGAACAACCAGCTAAACGACATCTTATTCGGCCACAGAGGTGGCCAGGTGTGTTGTGGCATATTAGACTTCAATTCTAAAAGGCACTGTCCCTTCAGTAGCAGGTTTGGAGACCCTTTGTATAAATTAAAAATAAAGGTGTCTAGTTAAACAAATGTTCAGTTCAGTAATAAAAACCATATATACTTGTATTCCTCTTCTTTGGCCAAGAGGTCCATTTGTGGGGGTTTCTTCAGAGGAGCGGAGGAAGTCCTGCTTTGAAGGTTGGTGCTGGAAGGTCTTTCCGAGTAAGACGTTTGAGGCTTTTTAAACTGAGTACAATGAAATCAGTATTACTGCAATTATTAATCTCTCTGTGTTATCAGAAATGTATTTTGCATTCTACTTCTTATGGCTTTGGGAATTTAACACAAATTTGCAGGGTGTCTGTTAATTCATCTTTCCACAATTTCAGGTCATCAAATCGTCTTAAATCTGAGTTAAATGTCTTAGTCTGCTGGAATTTTGGTGAAAATGTACTCACTATTTTCTTACTAACAATTGGTTCCAAATGGTTCCTTTATGCATTTCTCTTTTCTGTTGTACTTGAAAGAAGATATTTTGAAGAAAACTGGAAACCATTAACTGACAGCCATAGTCTGAGGGTAAAAAATAGAATGGAACGCAATGGCTACCAGTTCCCAGCATTCGTCAAAATATTTTATTCTATTTTCAAGAATGAAACTAAAACTTGGAGGCTGAGTAAAATTGTAGTTTTCATTTTTGGGGGGTGAACTATACCCAAGAAATTGTTTTCTAAGTAACTAAACAAAGTTAACTGAGTTTGTGCTTGAAACAAGAACAGAACAAACATACTTTGTATTAAAAATATATATATATACAAAAGACAAATATTTTTGTTAAAAGAAAAAAATTTAATTTCTAATACAAAAAAATATGTTTTAAATTAGCCTGAATTCTTATAGTCACAGGCCTTAAAACACAAGCAAATGAAAACCTTTCACTCTATTAAGGTTACTTCACAATGCCACCACAATGTTCTGAACTGTGATGCCAATCAACTGTAATCCCCAGTTTATAAATCCCCTGTGACTGTTGTGGATGCGCACATTGAGAGTAGACCAAACATACAGTCAGCAGAATATAAAAACTACTTTTCCATTTCTGTTAAGCTGACAGGGGCACCTCTCCCAATAAGGGCAGAGGGGCAGTGGCTCTAGCCCTGGGCCACCACCCTGTGCACGGCCCTACACCTGGCCATGGAACAGTTAAGAAGCTTAGAAGCCAATTGTGCAATTACTTTTTGGACCATTAGCAAGCGGAAGACACATATGCAAACTGTTGTAATGCTGCGGTCACACTAGAGTTTGTGCATACGAAATTCTGTTGTATGGCGCTGCGAAACCTCTCAGGAGCTTGTGATTCCAGTCTGACGCATTCGCATGTGTATGAATGGAAGTCTATGAGAAGAAAAGTGCAGTGTGACCGCAGCTTAATTCCTACAGCGTTCAGCTGATTTGGATGTAAATACCCTAAAATTAAAGCTGACAGTCTCCAGTTAAAGCACATCTTGTTAGTTTCATTTTAAAATTGATTGTTTTAGTGTTTAGTGTTTAGCCAAAAATGTTAGTTGTGTCGACGTCCAAATATTTATGGACCTAACGTTAACTGTATGTTTTATGCAACAAATGTCCTTCCATCTGCAACCCAGCACTGGTAAACACCCACATACTCTCTCATTCACACACGCATCTTTAATAAGTATACAATATATTTCCATAACCAACCATAAACCATGATTAGACAAGGTAAAGTTAAATTGTTTCAACACACAAATGCTTGTTCTAACGTACATTAACTGTTTAAAAGCACAACAGACTACTTAGGGTGATTTTAGATTTAACACGGGATCGCTCGGAATAAGTGTTAAAGAGTAATATTTCGTTCCACTTACAGGACGGAGCGCAGGTCTGGGTGTGCTGTCTGCCATGTTTGTTGGTGGAGAGACGCCAGTTCCTAAGCAACAACGTCTATAAGGGTTGCCAGGTCTGTGTGACAAAATCCGCTCTAACTCTAAAACACTCCACTCTCATGCCCAAAACAATATTTTACGGCAACTGTAATACATACAAATACAATAAGCGACAATAAATACACGAGCACATGCATTAAAAATAAGCAATATTAGAAGTAATAATATTGTGCTCAATTTATAATTTATATAATTAAGAACACTAGCCTATATCACTGGTTTACTGCATAATATTTAATACAGTCGGTCAGTAATGTTAGTGTTTGTTATTCATTAATGTAAAAAAAAAAATTAAACCAGGAAAAAAAATCAACATGCGAAATATTTCCTCGGGGGAAAAAAACTTTCCATTTATAGGGCATTTATAGTTTAAAGACACTTTACAGTTCAATGAGAAAAATTATAATTTTGTACACACTTTTCTTTATCCATTTAAAAATAATACTGTTTAATGCCTATTTTATTTGTGTTAAATAAACTAGATAATTCATATCTAATGTATGTTTGAGATCATTTGTAACTTTTTAGCCTTATTATTTGCAGCACATGACAGGGGAAATTCTAGCACAATGTCCGAGATGAAATACGAAAAAACGATAAAAAGACAAACAACTGAATGCGATGGGAGGCTAGTAAAACAACGAGATATCTATTATCAATCTTTACGCACAGCCAGTAATGCTTCAGAGAAAGAGCGATTATTCCTCTGAACCAGATGAACTCAAGTGCTGCCTCCCTGCAGCTCCCTCGTGTGGGTTTCCGCTGTCGGCGCAGTGCGCATGCGCGCTCTCAGCAGCAGCAGTGGTCGGCAGGCGAGCTGTAGGTAGGTAGTGTGTGTGACTCTCAACCTGCTGCAGCTCGAAGTGTCTCCATGCTCCTGGTGCACCCACAGGGATTCTGAGGAGCTCACCTGCAACCCCAAACCATGAATGACCAACGTGATCTGGCAGAGCCGAATCCGAACAGTCCCTGAAGTCAACAGGCGGTGATCGTGATGTGCTATTTACGGAGGAAAGCTGCATTCTCCAGGTTCAGGTTAAGGCCTACTTGTTAGATCCCCATCCTCGTCTCAGCAGAGTCGCATCGTGATGGCAGATGACCAGCAGCAGTCGGGACCCGGAGCTGGACCTTTACCGTCCGCGGTTCAGGGATTGCAAGGGCCCGAGGCGAGTGCTCTGCAGCTGAAGATAAAGAACTCTATCTGGTAAGCGCTGTCCGAAATGTTGCCCGTTTTATGTGGGTGCTGCTGCTGCTGGATATGTGAGGGTTAATGGAGGCGAAGGCTCTCCATCCTAATTAGCTCTATTCCAGACGGTCCCTCGTTTCCAGTTGATAGTGGCTCATGGATACAGCACTGTACGTGTATTCAACTAACCAGACCAGTTCTATCCTCATAGTGAATGCGACAAGTTAACTTAATCAAAGTTGTTTGTTTTGGACACGGAGGTTTTGGTCTGTCTGAGCAGATTATTAAAACACGAGGTGGTCTACCTGTCTATGGTTGTCATGTAAAGTATACGCGTTATTTATCTGTAAAAAGCTGCGTTTGACATTGTAAAGACAGTGGAAAGCATGGGTCTTGGATTGGGCGACAGGTTACCCGCGACCACGCGCTCTCCACAGATTCTGTGGGCGCGCTGCGATGGTAAACAACTCGCGTGCAGCAGCAGCAGACGCGCGCATTTAAACGGCCAGCGTGCCCATAGTCACGCTTTCCTCGCAGACATTACTGCATCCCACGGATATATGATATTCTGCTTCTCTTGATCTTTTAGTTTGTGTTGTGGTTATCTAAGATTTATTTCCATTCATTCACCGGGTAAGCGCTTAGTTGAAGACATCGTGGAGCATGCAGCCATGGGGCTCATGATGTTTATAGCGCTGCAGCGCATGCGTTCTGCATGTTGTTGTTTTTACTTAGTATTTATTGTAAGGACAATATATAACGTCTGCGCGCACAGCAGAGATGTATAAAGTACTAGAGACCCATACTTAAGTAAAAGTACAAGTGCTCTATCAAAAAGTGACTTGAGTAGAAGTAGAAGTGCTCTTTAAGCACCATACTTAAGTGGAAGTACTAAAGTATTCAACATTTTTAGTACTTAAGTATTGCAAGTAGTTTATTTCAAAATTTACTACTCAAGTACTGAAAGTAAAAGTACAAGTATTGTGTAATGTAGTTATTAAAGAAGGCAGTCAAAAGACATCATATTGTTTTGTTTATTTTAAATATCTTTGGGGCACTTGATTAAGCAGAATGAAAAGAAACATGGCTTACGATACTGTTTTTCTCTGTAAATAGTTTCTATGGTACAAGAACTCACATCGTCAGGCTCTTTTACCAGAAAATCACTTCACTGATGAGATAATTCAGCATGTTCATTCATACTCTCTCTCTCTTTTACACACACATACACACACACACACACACACACACACACACACACACACACACACACACACACACCTAAATGTACACTCTCACACATTCATACACTCTCACACACAGTTCTCTCTCTATCTCTCTCTCTCTCACACACACACACACACGCACACACACACACACACACACACACACACACACACACACACACACACACATTTTTGTGAATTGTGGGGACATTACATAGGTTACAATTGTTTTTATACTCTACAAACTATACTTTTGAATGCTCTAACCCCAAATCCAATCTCTAAACCCAACCCTTACAGGAAATTATGTGTAGTTTTACTTTCTGAAAATAAAAAAAATATTTAGTGTGATTGAATTTTATACATAATGTCCACATAATTCACCATCTCCTCCTAACATCTGTGTAATACCGATGTTGTTATACATATACATGGGCGCACACACACACAAACACGAAAATACACTCTTTTACACTCTCTCTCTCTCTTACACACACACAGACGCACACACAGGTACAATCACACTGTTTCTCTCTTACATGCATTATTCACTCACACAAACTCACACTTTGGTAGTTTTGAAGTTTGATTGGTTAATACCACAATAAACAGGAGTTATGTCTTCTGGAAGCAGTCGTGAAACTAAACTAAACAAGCAAACTAAATCCTGTTGCACTAATTCACTTGATTTTGATTTTATTGTAAAAAAAAAAAAGAAAACCAGGAAAGCGTGTATAGTACTGTGTTAAAAGAAAATCTAAAATACTTTATGGCTTATGGCTATGGTTTAGAATAATTTTTTTAAAATTTTGATTATGTTTTTAATTAAATTGGTCTTGCACTTCATATGTTCTGTAGTATATTTATTAATTCTGGTACTTTTACCATAAACCAACATCTTAACCAGTTGGTAGAGGCTGATATTTTAGAAGTTATGGGATGTGTTGAGGAAAAAAAGGCATTGACTGTGTTAAATAGCGACATTATGAGTTAAGAAATGCAATAAAAAAAATCTATTGCTTTTGTCTTGGTGACAGTTATAGGGTTATTTTTAATACAATTTTGTTCTTTAATACAGCAGTCAGATATATGAACTGTACTCTTAATTTGACCTGCTTAAAGAAAGCACTCTTTCTGAATGTATCAAACAAAACTCATGCACAGAAGACAGCATGAGCATTTACAGCTAATAAACTCATGTCAATATTATACTGCCTGCTTTTTGAGCGCTGACAGGAGAGGTCTTATGATGATTGGTTATTATCTTCATATGCTCAACAGAAAGGGCTTTAGAAATGAAGCGCTGTTCACCCATGGCGGGAAGAATACGCGGTTATCACAGGTAATAGACACAGTGGAGAAAACTTGAACATCAGGCACGCTCGTGTCTGGATGGATTGACAGCTTTAACAGCCAAGAAAAGAGGGAAAGTTACCTTACAAACAGGCCAGCGGGTCAAATGTCCAAAGTGAGAAAGAGAGAGGCAGAGGTGAAGTTTTACAACATTTCTCCCTAATAGTAAATTAGCGGCTCGTGTGCCGCCTTCACTCGCGCCTCCGTCCTCCGCCATAGTATTGCGACATCGCGTATAGGAGTTAAATGACGTCATCACGTAATCACCGGTTATGACCTATTACTGAACTGATATCGATCCTTTTGACACCCATAGTAACGAGTAACGATGCAGCACATAAAAAATCTATCGGAGTAAAAGTATTAAACTCATGTAAAATATGTACTTAAGTAAAAGTGAAAGTAGGAGAAAAAAATAATACTCCAGTAAAGTACAGATACTGCCTTTTAGTACTTAAGTACAGTAGTGAAGTAGTTCTACTTCGTTACTATACATCTCTGGCGCACAGTCATTCAACCCAGTATTGTCTTAGGTCAGTGGTTTTACCTGGAATTGATTATTGTAAGTGGACATTGCTTGTGGCAGCGAAAATAAAAAAAAACGCTGACACGATTATTTTGCAGCGTCCATCCCCCTCTTCTCCACCACCCTTGTTTTTGCATGTTGAGACATGCTTTCAACGACATGCATCTGCAGCAGAGGCTATACGCCTACTCTACGTCCTGGGACATAGATATGTTTGGTAGCACGTGCATTATGTGTGTGTGTGTGTGAGAGAGTGACTGTTTATAAATGTTGCAATCTTGGTTTCTGCTGCTGATTTTCTGATGATATCAGGAGTTAGCTTTCGGTATTAATTGGATATTTTTGTCAAGAATTTCACATTTTCTGCATTTTGATGAATTCAGATATCAGTAAACAAAATATTATTTCCAGTGAGAACTTTTATCACAAATATAATTGTTTACAAAGTACACTAGAGTTTAGATAATCTGAATAATTGTTAAATATAATCAAATTTTAAAACAACAATTTTCAATGTTATTATTTTTATGCAGGTCTGCAATGTTGTGTGACATGATCTAAAATAATTATGATAATTATTCATTGTTATTTTGAATTTTATATATATATATATATATATATATATATATATATATATATATATATATATATATATAATTCTGGATTTAGTTGCATATGGTGGACTTGACTGTTATCAATCAGAGTAGAATTTTTAAGAGATAATAAATGAAAATTTATTTAATATATGGATACTTTTCTAATCTATTGCCTAATAGCCAAAAAATACA